ACGGGACAAACCGCGAACGGACTCACTTCAGCAGCATGGTGCCAGCGCAGACTCTGGGCTGCTGGACCTCGGGGCCAGTAGGGCTGCAGCTGTCGGGGTCCCAGAGGCCTCGGGGGCGACGGAGTTGGCGCTGCTAGGACTTGGGGCGCGGAGATCTGAGGCTGCCGAGACTTCTGCCGCAGGATGGGCTGTAACTGCGCTCGCTAACGCGGCGCGCCTGGCCGGTTGGGTGCAGCCCAGATCCCCGCCCTCGGCCCGTCCCTCCCGCCACAGCCTCGGGGGCGGGAGGAGGCGGGAGCGGAAGGTCTCGCTCAGGCTCCAGAGAGCAGCCCAGTCCGATGCTGGCCAGGGACAGAGCCCTCCTGTCGGCGGGGTGGAAACATGGGTCTGAGTTACAGGTGCCGGGGTGTAGGGTGGTTTGTAGATCCCACTGAACGCCAAAGGCCGGCAGGGGCTGAGGGTGCGGGTGAGCAGAGACACAGCACTCAGCCACTGGCCTCCAGTGTTTTCCAGAACAAGCCGGGTCAGGCCGCTGTGTCCTTCCTCTGGAGCCCCGTGTCAGGCCCTATCTTGCACAGGATGAACCTGGGTTCAGAGCCCAAACCTGGGGTTGGCCAAGCTCCGTAGATGAGCAGAGAACCTAAAGATTAGGAAGGTTAATGAGTGGAAGGGCAGGCAGGAGGGAGGAAGGGAGGGGAAGCAGGGGCTCCACTCTGATCCAGCCCTCCCATCACCCAGCCATTTCCCAATCTTCGAAGGTTTGGTGAGGTCGCACATTTGCACAGAAAGAGGTTGAAGAGCCTAAGTTGGGATTTCGATTTGTATCCTCCAAAGCCAGCCAGACTTGGCAATCCTGTTTCCAAACTTGTGTTCCCTGGCACTCAGTCCGGGAGTGGCCTAAGGGTTCACAGGTGCTGAGGCCTAGCGAGGCCTGAGTCTGAGGACTTTCGCCCACCTGACTCCATCCCATGCTTTCTCCCCGGCCCCACCTGCCAGTGAGTTGGGAATGTGGAGGCCAGGAGGGGACAGGTTTCCCCCCAACCCACCCCCCATGGGGCAAGACTGATAAGAGGACACTGTATAATAGGATAACCCTACCTCCCCAAAGCACACACATAGTGTACCTCTTGGGGTCGACAGATGTGTCCCTCACCAGGTGGGAGGGTGTGTGCTCTGTCCCGGTTGTACCTTGCCAGCTGCTGATGGGGGAGGAGCCACAAGCCCATCTGAGCCAAGTCCTAAGGTACAGAGGGCATACTCCCTGGTCCTGTGCCTCTTGGAAGGATGTCACAGGGTCAACAGAGCTTTAGTGAACACTGTCAGAGTCCTGGGTGAACACCACAGACCACAGAGGGGTGGTAGCAGCGCACACCTTTGATCCCAGTACTCAGGAGGCAGAGTTGAGTAGATCTGGAGTTGGAGGCCAGCCTGGTCTACAGAGCGGGTTCCAGGACAGCCTGGCTACACAGAGAAACCCTGTCTGGAAAAACCATAAGAAAAAGAAACCAAAATCTTGGGCTCTTGGCAGTCAACATCAGGGAGCAGGCAGGCTGGGGCAAGCACAAAAGAGCAGAAGAGTCGGAAGGAAGGAGTAACCAGAGCGGCCGAGGAAAGCAGCCTAGGAGGGAGGTTGGGAGGCCCTTCAGCATGGAGGGGCTGCCTTCTTTTTGTGCTAGGAGAAACGGAAGTATCAGAACTCGATCCCGGGGATCCGGCAAAGATAATCCAGGAGTGAGCCAGGAGTCTTGCTGGTACCACGTTGGGTTGGTGGCCTCAGTCGTGTCCCATCTCCCCCACTAAGTTGGTAGCAGCTGAGGGAAGACTCAGCAGAAAACTGCTGACGGTTATTGCTGGAGGGTAGACCCATGTCCTATGTTGCAGATGAAGAGGATGGGTATTGCTGGGGGGGGTAGCACCATGTGCTATGTTGCAGATGAAGATGGGTATTGCTGGGGGGGGGGGGGGGGGGAGTAGCACCATGTTCTATATTCCAATTGCCCTGGCCAGAGGCTCCTCAGTTCCACTCCATTCCAGAAGTACAACCCATCACTAATCTCAAGACTCTCTCTGATTGGATAGGCCTGACTTGGCATCAACTCTGGGCCCATCACTGATGTCCAGGGGCCTAAACAGCACCCCCATTGGCTGATACTTAGGTCACTCCTTGCCCTGTGTCCATCTGGATAACCAACTCTCTATACCCATCAGCTCTTCCTGGCAGGCAGTGGGGAGCAGTGGTTGAATGGGGCTTTTATAGAAAGCTGGACCACGCTATAGCTAGCAAAGTGGCAGGGACTGGAGCTCTTCAAAAATGAGTGCCCCCCCCAACACGCACGCGTGCACACACACACACACACACACACACACACACACACACACACACACCTGGGATCTCAGAAAGCCAAATGCCACTCTCTAGGCTGAGGGATCTTAGCACAGCAAGGAAGAGAACTGAACCTTGGCTAGAAGTAGATACGAGGCAAAGCTGGGCAGCTAGAGGGGTGGGGCCCCTGGGAGAAGGGAACACCAAGGCAGGCAAATGTATGGCTGCGCTCAAATCCCACCTTTGCTTCCTGGGAGCTGTGCACCATTAAGTAAGTTACTTAGCATGGGTGAAACAATGATAACACAAGCTAGTAAGCCAGAGGTCCTCAACCCGTGGGTTACCACCCACTTGGGATTGAATAACCCTTTCACCTAAGACCACCCAAACACACTAGTATTTGCACTGCAATTCCTAACAGTAGCAAAATTACAGTTATGAGGTAGCAACACAATAATTTTATGGTTGGGGGTTACCACAGAGGAACTGTTTTAAAGGGTCACAGCGTTAGGAGGCTTGAGAACCACTGCTGTAAGATATTGAGTAGTTATCCTGAATGAATGCACACTCTGACACTACATGGGTTGCAGAGACCTCTGCTTTGGTTTGGATTTGAGAAAGGATCATTCCAGGCTGGCCAGCAGTTCTCAATCCTCCTGCCTCTGCCTCCCATACACCATCATGCCCTGCTCACACACAGTAATTTAAGGCAAACCCAAGAGCTGGAAGGCTGTGGCTGGAGCACTTTTGACTTTGTCCTTAACGGTGTCTGTTCCTGGCAAGCAGAGCGCGGGAAGTTAGATGTGAGAAGCAGTAGGCATTATATCCAAGCAGACGTGGGGTTCTAAGGTTTCCAAGTGTGGTGGGACAGAATGTAGCAATGTGTAGCCTGAAATGTCTGATGGGTACTCAGAGACCAGGGAACCTTCTGGCAGGGCAGCTTGGCCTTTACACATGAGATGCCACATCCATGGAGGCCAGGACAATGACTGCCTTTAACACCACAGACATTTGTGGATACTGAGTGATTCCTGTCTTTTCTCTTAGGGTCTGTCCATTCCCTGGGACAGCTCCGACTAATCAATTCTCTCTGTATCTCTCTTACACATACACACAAACAAACAAGCAAACAAAAAACAGCTCTGGGTGCTGGAGAGATGATTCATCAGTTAAAAGTGTTTGTTGCTGTTCCAAAGGACCCAGGTTCGATTCTCAGCACCCACGTGGCAGTGGTGGCGCACACCTTTAATCCCAGCACTCAGGAGGCAGAGGTAGGTGGATCTACGTGAGTTTGAGACCAGCCTGCTCTACAGAGTGAGTTCCAGTTTAGGCTCCGAAGTTACAGAGAAACCCTATCTCGAAGGAAAAAAAAAAAAAAAAAAGACAAAAAAAAAAAAAAAAAACAAAAAAAAAAAAAAAAAGGGTTAAAAACATCCCTGCCTTGTAAGGAGAGCCCCCCTTTGGCTCTAATTCCTGATATTTTCAGGTGTCCTTTGGTAGAGGCTCTCTTCAGTTCCAACCTCTGTGGCTGCACAGCTGTTCACTTGGTACAGCCAAGTGCCCCTACTTTAAGGTGTACAGAACACTGGGTGATCCAGAAAAGCTTGACCATCTAAGTGCATCAATGAAGCCCTTTGGGACACGTTAGGTGACATTCATAGGCCTCAAAGTCACTGGAGGGATATGCTGAGTGGGGATCACTGTTCACCTGTCCACAAGGGATCTTGAGTAGGATTAGCATATACTGGAGGGGGAAATCTCTCGATGTGGACAGTAGTATGTGTGTATCTGTGTGTGTGTAAGGTGGATAGCAGAATGATCCACATGGGTGGCTCTGGTCCCTGCTTAAGAGGCTGACTGATAGAAAGTGGACACTGGCCAGGTATAGTGATACATGCCTGTAATCCTAACATTTGGAAGGTGGGGTTGAGAGACCAGCAGTTCAAGGTCATCTTGGCTACGTTGTTTGAGGCTAGCCTGGGCTATATAGCACCCTTTCTCAGAAAAACAAACCAGAAACAGCCAGTGAGGTGGCTCAGCAGGTAAGGGTGCTTGTTATCTAAGCCTGACAACCTGAATTTGGTTCCTAGGACCTCCGTGGTAGAAGGAAGACAGATTCCCACAGGCTCTTTTCTCACCAGCACTGTGGCACACATTAATTACTCCTGCATACAAAACAAACAAGTGTCTTTTTTTGTTTGTTTTTTGTTTTTTTGAGACAGGGTTTCTCCTAGTAGTCTTGACTACCTTGAAACTCGCTGTATAGATCAGGCTAGCCTCAGACTTGGAGATCTGCCTGCCTCTACCTCCTGAATGCTGGGATCAAAGGCGTGCCTGGCTGCTTTTCTTTTTAAAAGGACAGAAAGAGGAAGTAGCATTAATTTATGGGGATCCATGGTATCGTAACCTTGGGTGGAAGCAGCTGCCACTCTTGCCATGAGCTCTTGCTCATATCAGTAGTGGTCATGGATTTACTTTTGAGCTTATGCTACCTCATCAGGTCAACTGGGCGGGTAGACTCCTGGTCTAAGCAGGAACTCCTATAGCATGTGCTCACAACACACATGCCACAGAAGATGACTCAGAGTGGGTTCCATGAATCAAGCACGTCATTAGGCTTGGAAGCAAGCATCTGTTCCCACTGAACAGAGCCACCTTACTGGCCCCAGAATTGCTCCAGATACTGAGGTGTCCTATCTACTGACCCAAGACAGCTAGCTCCTTTCCTACTTGAGGGTCCAACAGTGGCCCAATTTTCTTTCACAGAGCACTGACAGTGTCAACACAGACCCCAGAGGGTCCTGAACCCCAGCTGTGGTGCTCAGGCAGTTTGAGTCTCTTCAGTGGCTAGAGTCTACATCTGGGTGTGTGGGAATGGTTATGCCTAATCAGAATCCACTATGCATTTCAAAACTGGCCAGTCCACACTTCCCAGGGGATTCAGCTTCATTGGAACACCAACTGCCAAGAACTGTTGGGAAGCCTCGTCTGCAAGCTCCCACTATTAGGAGGATCCCAAAATTACCTGGTCTTCTCACTAGGTGTGAGCTTTGGCAATGGTTTGGGTTGTTTTGTGTGGCAACAAGAGGGTTAATGACTTGAGCCATCAAAGCAAATAGCAGGTGATGAAGGCGCTATATGCTCACATCAGGACATCAGGCATTGTCTATGGAAATGTCACCACTGTGAGGTACAGATAAAGGCCACACCGCCCACACACCACACAAGAACTCTACCAGTAACAAGCCTTTAATATATTTGAAAAACTTCACAACAGGTACATACACACACACACACACACACACACTTTTGGAGATGCACGGTGGCCTAACCCATCAGGATCTTGTCCACAGAAGTGGGCACCACCCACCCCCACAGTGAGTCGCATGGAGACATCGCATCTTGGGACCCAAACAGGAGAAACCCTAAGCAAATGGAAGAAAATCCTGCCGAGGGAAAGGGGTACAGGAGGAAGGCTGCTATGGGTTCTAGGAAAACCTCTTTCATTGTATCGTGATTCATTTGTAAAGAGGAAGTGGGTTCTGAGAAAAATACTTGAAATACTCTCTCAGAGGGAGAAGGCAGTTCTTCACCAGGGCGTCAGTTTTCTGGGCGGCCACCTTGGCTCTGGTTCTAACGTGTCCTTCCAGGGACTGCTCCTCCTTTGGTGTCAGGGCCGAGTGTTTGCTACCAAGGAAAGAATCACCTGTTAGAGATGCTGCTCTGAGCCAAGCATTGGTGGCATACACCTTTAGTCCCAGCACTCGGGAGGCAGAGGCAGGCGGATCTCTGTGAGTTCCAGGCCAGCCTGGTCTACAGAGTGAGTTCCAGGACAGCCTCCAAAGCCAGAGAAACCCTGTCTTGAAAAACTAAAGGGGAGAAAGAGAAGGAAGGAAGGAAGGAAGGAAGGAAGGAAGGAAGGAAGGAAGGAAGGAAGGAAGAAAGGAAGAAAGGAAAAAAGAAAGAAAGAGAAAGAAAGAAAGTAATGCTGCATTGGGCTGGGGGGGGATTCAAGGCCAGCCTGGTCTACAGAATGAGTTCCAACTCAACCAGGGCTGTTACACAGAGAAACCATAGCTCGAAAAACCAAAAGAAAAAACAACAAAACCGCATTTGTCCCACTTCCCACGACAGCCCAGCTGAGACTGTTCATCTTTGATCCTGCCCAGCATATTCCCCTTTTTGGTGTGAAGAGGGAGCCTAGAAGTTGCTAGAAGTGGATGTGAGCCATCCCAGGCAGTAACTCACACAGAGCAAGGGTAAAGATCAGTGAGACCCTTCAAGTGTGCACAGACACTATTTTCCAGGAGGCCTGACATGACAAACCCAGCTGGCACAAGTGGTGAGCCCATGCCAGGGGCTCCTAGAGTATGTGAGCTTTATCTGGGAGCCCCCACCCCCAGATACGACACCTAGTATCCCCTTTCTGTGTGCCCAGCCCCATCTCCATCTCTTTGGGGGCACACAGAAGCAGTGAATGGCATGTCAGAAGGCCGGCCCTCCACTTTCCCTACATTCTATCCTGTCTTCATGTTTCCCCCTGCCCCCAGGGATGACAGTGGTCACATGGAGGCAGATATTAGAGGAGCTGCCTGTGAACCTTGCAAGATAATTCTTACTTCAGTGAGCAAGATGACTCTTTCACCTCACTGTGAAGCCACCCTGAAAGCAAAGAGCCTGCAGTTTCCTCCAGGAGCCAAGTGACCCTAGCTGCAGGGGTACCCAAGCCCTCAACTTCCTTTGGGGGCCCTCAATCAGAAAAGAGGTGGGGCTGGGGTCTAGGAGGAAAGAAGCTGTCCCTCTACACTCCAAACCTGGCAAGACCCCATTGGGGGGAGGGGCAGCTCAAAAGGAGGGAGGCAGGTACCACTTATACAGCCACATGTATTAGAGTTGGCTGGACTATATGTAATTGCTTCCAAAACATGTTTGTTGTTAGGGAATATAAGGCCTGTGTGAGGAGGGATGTCCTTCTGGAGGCTGTGACTATGTGTTTCTCTTATTGGTTGATGAATAAAACTGTTTTGGCCAATGGACAGGCAGAATTTAGCTAGGCAGGCAATCTAAACAAAGATACAGAGGAAGGAAGCCAGGGTCCAGAAGACACCATGTAACCAACAGGGAGGCAGGACGCCAGGGCATTACCTAGGTAAGCCACAGCCATGTGGTGATACACAGATTAATAAAAATGGGTTAATTTATAAGAGAGAACTAGCCAGTGAGAAGCCTAAGCTATTGGCCAAACAATTGTAACTGATATTAAGCCTCAGTGGGTTATTGCATAGCAGCTTCCAGGACCCAGTGGGCAGAGAGAAACTGGTTCAGTAGAATCCAGACTAGTTGGGAAAAAGTCTCCTTCTACGCCTGCGTGTGACATGCCTGATAGGCCCACAGCTGACAGGAATAGATCTTGACTTCTTTTGCCAATGGTTCAACTCATTTTCTGTCCCTCTCCTACTATCAGGCAGGAGACCATACCTTACTTAGAAGCATCCAAAAAAAAAAAAAATGTTCGGGGAAAGTGTATGTCTCCTCAGCTCCACCTCAGTCCAAGTCCAGAAAGCTACCAGGTGAGGGAACCTGGTGGTACCTGACTGGCATACCGGCTAGGAGCCAGGAAAATGCTGGGATAGAGGAAGTGGGTGGGAAGTTTCCAGAAACTCAGTATAGGGCAGGAAAGGACACGAATTTGCAGTCTCAGAGACAGTTCAAACTGGCTCAATCTACACCCAAGTCTGTGAGCGAGTGGGTGTGTGAATGTGTTAGGGAGTTGCGTCAGTCTATATGAATGAGTGTGTGGGTAAGCATGAGTGTGCGTAGGGCAGGAACTTCAGAAGGCTGGGGGTAACTGGCCTGCACAGTTGAGGATGTGTCCTGAAGCCCATGGCTAGGAGTCTGGACTTTCTCCTGAGGATGAGGAAACACTTCTCTAGGCCTGAGGCAAGATCAGGAGGCATTGAGTAAACACAGGGAGAGTCCCTCAGTGCAGAGACACCCTGAGCCCCATTGTGTTTAGGGTTGTGGTGGACAAGTGGTTGCTGAGACACGGTCAGATGGAGCACGGGACTGTGTAGGCCTGACTCTACCAGCATGCACGGTTTCCTCTGCCTCTGAGTCTGTAATGTCCCTGCCCTGAAGAGATACCTCTTCAAGCCTGGGATGTTGCTCCATACCCGCACAGCATTCTGGAGGACTCTGCCGCGGACATCCTGGAGGGTCACAGCCTCCGTCTGTGGGAAAAGAGGGGGCTGTGGGTCAGCAGGACACAAATGTAATATCCTCCCCATGGGACACACAGTCAACAGACTGTGCAGGCTGTGGCACTACTCACAGACAGGGTACTTATTTCTCCTTACATAACTTAAGAAGAACTAAACCTGGAGAACACTTTGATCAACTCTATAAAAATACTTTTTAAAACCACTGAAATGGGTTATGTTCTAGGATAACTTTCCAAAACACTGACTTCTGAAAAGACAAAAATCTCTGGGTAGTGGTGACAGTACACGCCTTTAATCCCAGCACTCTGGAGGCAGAGGCAGGAGGATCTCTACAGAGTGAGTTCCAGGACAGCCAGGGATACACAGAGAAACGCTGTCTCAAAAAAATCAGAAAAAGACAGCATCGTCATAGATTTTTCTTTTCTTCTTTCTTTCTTTCCTTCCTTCCTTTTTCTTTCTTTCTTTCTTTCTTTCTTTCTTTCCTACCCTCCCTACCCACCCATAATTTATTCTCTCTCTCTCTCTCTCTCTCTCTCTCTCTCTCGATCTCTCGATCTCTCTCTCTCTCTTTTTTGTGGTGGTGGGGTCTCGGTGGACACAGAGTCTCACCATATAGCCCTGGCTGGCCCGGCACTTACTATGTAGACCAGACAGGCCTTCAATTCACAGATAACCTCCTCCTCTGCTAGGACTAAAAGTAAAAGCACCCAGCTCACAATTTTTGTTTGTTTGTTTTAAGTACCAAGCAATATAATTTCATAGAATTCTTTCACCATATAAAACATTTCTGTGAACCAGATTCAAACACAGAAACAAAAACCTGATAAGGATCCCACAAAAGAGAAAACCACAGACCAACCTCCTTTTAGCCTTGTCAACTCAGTCCTCCTACCTATAACACTTCCCACAGGTCTTAGCCCTGTGTTAAAATAACTCACCATGGTCAAGCCGGTTTTCCTAGGAATGCAAGGATAGTTCATTCCTAGCAGCTCTAACCATATACTATAGCCCATTAATGGATGGGTGGAGCAGGGGGATAATCTGGCCACCTCACAAATGTTAAAAAAGAACACAGGAGGCTGGGTATGGTATGCACACCTTGAAGCCCAGCACTTGACAAGCAGAGCCTTTCATTCCTGATTGATTTTTCTGTTAAGTACTCAGGGCAATTGTCTGGTGCCTATGAGTCCCCATCCTTTCTACTTCCATAGTAGGCCAAACTCCCCACCGCTGCCATCGTATCTCCTGGGAGGTGAGGGCTTCTTCGTTTCTCGCCATCTCTCATCTCCTATGTCCAAGACTGTCAGTCATTCCTCAGCCTCCACAGCTATCTATCCCTGACACACTGGCCCCCATGTGGTGTCTGCACTGACCTTGCAGGTAACAGGGGAGACAAACAGGCTGTTCAGAATGAGCGCGCACGAGCGTGTGAGTGCATGGAGTGGGCATGCGTGCCATGTGGTTAGTGTGTTTGGTTTGAGTGGATGTGGTCATGTGTGCAGGCTGAAAGGTGAGAGTAGGAGAGGCCATGGATCTGGCTGGCTGTGACTACATAAACAGGAGTGGTGTAAGAGGAAGGGGAATTGCCCTTCAAGGCTGACCCTACAGGGGCCAGTGTCCTGCAAATCTGCAGTCTGTGTCTCAGGTGCCCAATGTCCTTGTGGCCCTGCACACACCAGGGCAGCAGAGTAGAGTCCCAGAGCTGGGTACAGGCTAAGCTCCTAGCCCCAGATACACCCACCTGAAAGAAGCGGGCTGCTGTGACTTGGTCATCCTCAGACAGCAGCAGATTGTCCACAAATATCCAGAAGAAAGGCTGCTGACTCCCTGGGTGAGGCCGGGCGTATTGCAGTATCCGGTGAAATTGGAACATGTACCATCCTGTGGTGAAGCAGGGGGAAGGCCAGTTCAGATGGCAAGGGCTGGGTGCGGGGAGGGCCAGGACGGCACCTCTGCTGTCCCATTGTGAAGATGGGAACGCAAATGTCCATTTAGTCTACAGCCCCCGACAGCACACTGAGCATGTGCAAATTCGCCTGTTAGTTATAGCAGTGTGTGTGATTTCTGCCCTGTCTGAAGGCTGAGGTGACGTGAAGGGATTCGAGGACAAGGTAGAGGTGACAGGATTGAAGGCAAGATTCTCAGGTGACTGGAGCTGAAAACAGCCCATTTCTTGAAACTTACCAGGGCAGTGGTCACAAGAGTAGCCTAGGGGCTGTGTTGAGCCATACACAAGGTCAAAGGGACCCCATCTCTCCACCTAGGGAACACACACATCATTATTGATGGGACAATGATGGCTGAAAGCGAAGTGTTTCCCCCACTGGTGGCCAGCATTAGTGCCTTTGTATTCCTCTCATCTCCCCAGTGATGTACCTTATGAGTGACCCAAACAGACCTCCTAGCGAAGCCTTGGGAGAGATACCCAGATACCAATGGCTCTCAGGAGAAGCTCAAACAGTGGTAGCCTGAGAACATTCCATATCTGAGATTCTTTGGATAAACTGTTGCTTTTAAAAGGGGTACTAGTCCTAGAGGGAAAACACGTACTCATTCAGTCTGAGGGATTCCATATCTTTCTGGGAAATTTGAGATTGTGCTGAGAGCCAGCATCTGGGAACAGACAGCAGGGTAGACATGGTCTGACCACCATAAACAATTCCCAAAGTACTGGGGGTGGGGGGTGAGGTGTCACTTGCTAGCCAGTTAGGAAGAGAATGAAATAGCCAGCCCCAACCCTGCCAAGTGCAGACAAACAAGGAGCCCTCCGTTTGCACAAGTGGCCCAAGGTCCCTCTCCACCAATGGCCTCTCTAGCCCTGGACATTTTTGTTTGTTTGTTTTTCAAGAGACATGGTCTCTGTGTAGCCCTGGCTGTCCTGGAACTCACTCTGTAGACCAGGCTGGATTCGAAATTTGAGATCTGCTTTGCCTGTGCCTCCCGAGGGCTGGGATTAAAGGTGTGCACCATGATTGCCAGGAGGAACTGTTTCTTAAAAGAATGTCCAGGGCTGAGCCAGGCAGTGGTGGCACACACCTTTAGTCCCAGCACTCAGGAGGCAGAGGTAGGTGGGTCTCTCTGAGTTGGAGGCCAGCCTAGTCCGCAGAGCAAGTTCCAGGACAGCCAGGGCTACACAGAGAAACCCTGTCTGGAAAAACAAAACAAAAACAAAACAAGGACAAAAAATTTAGTGGCTGGAGATATGGTAAGAACACTGGCTATTCCTTCAGAGTTCCTGAGTTCAATTCCCAGCACCCACGACGAGACTCACAACCATCTATGAGATCTGGTGCCCTCTCCCGGCATGTAGGCATACATGCAGACAGAACACTACATGCATAATAAATAAATCTTAGAAAGAAAAATTAGTTCTAAGATGTCCAAGCATGCTTTCTCCAATCTAGAACAGGCCCATTCTTTCTTGGATCTTCTCATTTCTCAGTAGTAGCATGACTCCCAAATTAGGCCCTAACTTCTTGGCTCTTATGCTCCCTATATTCCCAACTTCTCTACCTGGAATCCTACAGGGCCAATGACTGGTTGGGATCTGGCCAGAGGAAGTAGTCGGGGTTCTGGGTTAAAGACCATCACCCCAACTGTCTATATAAGGAGGCCCAAATGCAACTTGCCCCTGCTTCCCCCCCTCCTCCAACCCGGCCGCCCGTGTTGCCAGGAGGCATGGAAAAGGGTTCCCACCACAGGGACAAGACAGCACCAGATTTGTGTTCGGAAGAAGTTGATCATATGATCAACTGTTGGCTGCTCAGCTCAAGGCTTGCAGCAATGAGATGGTAGGGTGGGGTGGAGCCCCTCCACCCATGCATATACCCCATCCTAGGCAGCAGAAACCAGCCACATGGATTTCAAGATGTCTGGCTGCTTGCCCCATCAGGACTGAGGGCCATGCAGAAGTCAGAAAAGCATTCTGCTCCTGCCTCCCTCTGTGAGATACAACAATGGTAACTACACTGGGCGTGCGTGCGTGCGTGCGTGCGTGCGTGCGTGTGTGTGTGTGTGTGTGTGTGTGTGTGTGTGTGTGTGTGTGCTCCTGCCAGACCCAGGACCCCATGCTGGTCTGAAGACTTCTAGCAGTGTCTTGCACTCAGTACGCTCCTTCCTGCCCCTCCAGGGCTCCCTTTCTCCCATCTTCCTCCCTCTCCTCTTGCCCCTTCCCGCCAGGCCCTGCCGTCCGTCTCTCCACTGGCACACCTGGCCGTGGCAGCCCACCCCCCGCCCCCTCAACTTACGTCTCTCCTCACAACATTTGTGACATCATCCAAGTACTTCAGTCTTCCTTCCTCAGTGCGAGAGCCACTTTCCAAAAAGCCCAAACTCTTTAGCTCTGGAGGGAGGACAGACAAGATGGACAAAGAGCAGACTGTGGGCTCTGTCCCCGAAGAGTGGGAATGGCATGACAGTGCAAATTTTCCTGTCATGGAACAGCAGCTTGATCTTTTCCAGTGTCAGAGCCCCAAGGACAAACTTCCTGAGTGTTAATTTATGAAAGTCATGAAATGTGTTGCAAAACTCTCTTTCTGAACCATGCTCTCACTTGCTGGCTTAGGCAACCAGTGGGGCTGTGGCATCCATATTGGTGTCATCTTTGAACCAGAATGGCGACATACAGAGTAGGTGGACTTCCTTCAGACCCCCGAGAAAGAGAGATTGGGCAAGTCGAGCCCTTGCTGGATGTCCTTAAGGTATAGTGATATACACTATCACATGGGGTCCTTGTGACACACTTTGGGGTCACTGGACACTCTCCTCGAGGCATCCTTAGTGGGATATGACTTAGCCAGAGAATAGAGTACCTTCAGTGCGTGCTGGGCACATGGGGATCAGAGAAGTCCAAGGGACAGGACTCCAGGAGAAAACATAGCCAGGTTGGGAGATTCAAGTATAGAAAGGAGGGTTCAGGAAGGCGGGGAGGCTGGGGCAGTCTATGTTTGAGTGGGGCAGAGCTGCCAGAACCCAGCCTCCTCACCAGCAGTAGTTCCCATCTACCCTTGCAGGCTTGCCCCTCCCCATTCCTGCCTCCTCCTCTTGGGTCCTTGCCTGGGTTCCAGTTCTCTGAGCCTTTTCACCTTCCCTCCTGCTTGGGCACACAGTTGGGGGTTTCTCTGCTTGTCACACCCTTTCCTGGGATACTCAGTTCTCTCAGCTCTAGGAGTCTGAGGAAGAAACTGGACTGGTAGTCTATTCTCAATCCCTACTCCCTGCCTCAGGTGTCCAGAGGCAGCCTAACAGCCAGGCAGAGGACACCAGACCACTCTGAGCTCCTCCTGTCCGCTCTTCTGGAGTGTCATTTGATGTGACTACACTCACCTTTATCAATATTCCCAAAAAGGCTCAGCACCCGCATGGGCTGTCTCTTCCACGCAGACACTGTCTTGTACATCTCCAGAGGGCTTGCCTGGAAAGGAAATAGAAGAAAAAAGGAAAAAAGAGAAAAAGGCAAAAGGATATGTGCTGGCTGCTCAGTGAGAGCTGATTGAGTCATAGCTAAGTGGCTCCTACAGCTGTCATTCCCTGGATGGACAGGACTCAACTGAGAGCCACCTGGAACACCCCTGCCAAGGCCTGGCTGTCCCTGTAGTGACTAGTGCTGTCCATCCCGCCCCAGAGGCCAACCCCATCCACTCCCCAGGTCTAGGTCTCTCATCTGGACCCCACATATCTAATGGGAATCAGGGTATGGTTTCTCTGAAGTTAGGGGACACTGATCCTAGTAGAGGATAGCTCTGTAGGTCTCCAAGACTCCAGGAGAGTAAAACCATCCCCATAGCCCAGTAACCCAGGTGACGGCAGGGCTGGTGGCCTCTGAGGCTTTAGGACACCATCCTAGGCCTCTTCCCAGCTGCTGGGCTCAGCACACTGTGGCTCCTAAAGGCTATGTGCTGCCTCTGCCTTCATCACTAGGTTTTTTCCTCCATTTCTCAACCCCGCCAAAACTCCTTCTCTTATAAGGACACTACCACTTCATGCTGAAGCCACCTCATTCCAAACTGCTCTTATCTCCACCTCAGCTAAGTGACACCACTTCCAAACCAGGTTGTGTTTTCAGGTCTCCGGTTTATGACCTTGACACATGTTTTGGGGGAGAGGAGACACACAGTCCAGTCTTCTGCACCTGTGACTGATTTAACCCCTCTGGGTTTCACCCTTGAGATGGCAGCCATGGCCGCATATGGGGTACCATGTTGGCTAAGCATTCAAGCCAATTTGATGGACTTCTATGTCTGTGGACAGAGCTCCTGTTCTACTTGTGACCAGTAATCATCCCTAGGCTTGGAAGAAACCAAATGATGACCAGAGACGAAACTCATGGTAAAGCGCTTGCGGAGCCTTCAACCCTGGATTCAGTCTTTATAAATGTGGTACCTGAAATCTCAGTACTCGGGGGCAGAAGCTCACTGAGTTCAAGGCCATCCTGGGCTACCTGAGACCTTCAGAACAAAACACCAGTGACACTTGCTTTCCGACAGAAAAGGGGCATTATGGCAAGAGCCTTATCATGTGATAGGGTATGTGCACACTTGACAGCCAATAAAGGGCCGCAGCAGATCCAGCCCTGGTTGTCCTTACCCCTTCTAGATCATAGAAGGCCTTCAGCTGGTGACGCCACTGTCTTCGCCTCTGCAGCAGTCCGCTACGAGCGAAAGGCAGGCACAGGAAGCAAACCCAGCAGGCCATGGCATTGATTCGTTCTGAGGTCCCAGGGCCTACCAGGATATCCACACACTCGAAACAGTAGCATCTAGAGTCAAACCGAAAACCACGGTGACCCAAATCATACTGCCATCGGGTGACCGCAAGGCAAGCCAGCACCTTGTTCTGGAGGGAACCATCTGTTTCTCTCTGGGCTCATCAGAGGCGTGTCTCTCAGTGCTGGGTGGGTGGGCCTGGCTGTAGGTTGGGAAGGGGACTCAACACCGTAGATGTGAGGTGGGTATACCCAAAATGGCGGACCTCATTCCCCTAAGCCTTCCCCCCTCAACTCTGAAGCCTGCACACACATTTTAAGGGTTCTAAGAAAAACCATGTGCAGGAGCAGCTGGCTGGGAAGGGGACTGTTGATTTCAGGGATGTAAAGAGGAAGATGTCCAGAAGGGCGGGGCAGGGAGCGTCATGGATGGAGCTCAGGATGCTGATTTAACAATTTACGGTGAGTGTGCCACCTGTGCCCCAAACAATCTTGGTTCCAACTCATGGCTAGCAGCCTCCGAGGCAGAGTGCTAGCACCCACCCTTACATTTCATAAGGACGGAGGGAACGGCCATGCAGTGGCATCACAGCTACACACCCTCGGTACCCGTGTCTCATGTTGGGCGTGGCTCTTTTGAGAGGAGCAATGCGGAGTTGGGCCCTGCCTCACCTGGTACAGTCGGGGCTCTCACAGATGAACAGGGTGTCCCCAGAGCAGCAGATGGTACAGTAGCTCTGGTGCCCATCCTCATCATAAAGGAAGAGGGTTTCCAGGAAATTGTCCTGAACAGGGAGCAAAGACTGAGTATGCCATCTCCCCCTCCAGTGCCAAGCGAGTACCATTGTCTCCCTGCTTACCTTACACGAGGCACATATCCCCCCCTCAAATAAGGGGTGCTGCGTGTACACCTGGAGACTTCCACAACCTAGGCAGATGTCTAGAGAGAGCAGAGAGGGAACAGACTTAACAAAAACAGTCCAAGGACCCCGAAGGAGACCAGGAAAGACCCAAGAAGCACGTGTTGGGGTCATAAATGGGAAGACTTGGTGGGAAAACAAGATGCCCTAAATGAAGGGCAGACATCTCCAAACCCCAGATCTGACATGTTGATCCTAAAATGCCTAAGGAAACTCAGGGACTCCCATATTGGCCAATCCAGAGAAACAGATCATTGACTCAAGAGCTTGGAGTCCCTATGAACCGATACACATTAAAAAAAAAAAAGATTAACTTATGTGTGAGGGCTCTTTCTGCACATACTCCTTTATTCCAGCAGAGGGCATCAGATCCCACTATAGATGGTTGTGAGTCTCCACGTGGGTGCTGGGAACTTTACTCAAGACCTCTGGAAGAGCAGTCAGTGCTCTTAATGGCTGAGCCATCTCTCCAGCTCCTAGATGTATTTTCATTTTCCTTTTTCCCCCTTTCTCTTTCTGACAGGGTCACATACATCTCAAGCTGGCTTCGTCCTCACTAAGGATGACCTTGAACTTCTGGTTCTCCCACCTCCCGAATGTTGGGTTACAGGGTGTGTCACCACACCCAGTTTATAGGGTGCTGGTGTTAGAACCTAGAGCTTCCTGCAAAATGAGTAGGCACTCTACTGAGAACTCAGCATAGTCTTAATTAAGTAGTGGATGATGTAAACACACATTTTCTTTGTGGGTGGGGTAGAGTTCAAGACAGGTTTCTCTCTGTAGCCCTGGCTGTCCCGAAACTCACTCTGTAGACCAGGCTGACCTCAACCTCAGAGATCTTCTGTCCTCTGCCTCCTGAGTGCTGGGATTAATGGGGCGCACCATCATGCCCAGACCAGATACACAAAAGTTTCAACCACATGTCTTAAATCTGGTGCTGGTGTTGGGGGGAAGGGGAGAGAATATCCCGTGGGCACCAGGATTGTTCCCACTTTCTGGGATGGCTGAGTGAGGCTGAAGCAAGCTTTCTGGTGGGGCCGACACTGTTTTGCTGGGTCACAGGCAAACGTGCAAACTCACCTTCGATGTTCCGTCGGTTCACACTGACTTCATACCTGATGATCTCTGGAAGAGAAAAAGTAGCCTCTTTCCTTTCCTGGCTCCTCATTGGAACATGTATGGTAAACTTGCCTTCTGAGGGGACTGGGATACAAGGAATACCCCCCCCCAACACCCACTGAATGCCGCCCTTGTCTGGGGCGGGGGCATCCTGAATGATTCAGGGGCATTCCATGCATTTCCTGACTCTGCGGTCCTCATCCAGAAGATAAGTTTATTACTTGGGTGGGGCCTTACCTCTGCCTGGCGGGGGTGAAGTTAAGGACAGCAGCTCCCGGGAGTCTTCCAGTACAATATCCGTGCTGTCCTCTTCATTGAGGACGGGGGCTTCAGATAGAGAAGGCACCATCACAGGGTGTCCCCATAAGGGACTCAAGATAGACGCAAGTGAACGGTCGGCTACCCGTAGCCAGCACTGGCCAAGGGCTCCACTAGACTGCCCAGCCAAGCCATGGTGACATCCACCCCACCCATCTGGGAATTAGGGACAAGAAAAGCCGCAGCATCAGCTTCAAAATGATTGGTAGGGGAGAGTGGGCCCTATGGGATCCCCTTCACCTATCCAGTCCCAGCCTGAATGTATTTTCAGGTAGGCCACTTCCCAGTGTCCATGTCGCCCTGCCTCCCTCTATACCTGGTAAACCCCTCTGGGATGCATGTTCCCACCTTCTGGTGACAGTTCAGACCCTCTGCTAAGGACCCTGTGGAGTAAGAGGAGGGCAGGGAAGAGGAGGAGAGATGGAGAGGAAGAAAAAGGCCTGAGGATCTCACAGAATTTCCGCCATTGCTCTTCCAGGTGGCTGGCAGAGTCCCGGCTAGAGCTGTCCAGCGTCTCCAGGTCCCAAGTTTCAAGGGCCTTGGAGCAAGAAGAATTCTCCCGGGAACCCATGGAGGTTGTCTGCGAGAAGGATCTGTGTCCAAAGAATGGCCGGTGGCTGGAGACTTCAAGAGGTGTGTCCGCAGGGTCGTCAGAACCCTGCAACGTGGTGAGAGATGATGGGAGGAGGGTGTAAAGGGCCGGGCTGGGTTCTCTTGGGGCCTAGTGGTGACTTATGGGGAGGAAGAGAGAAGGAAGGTTTAAGGGACCTTAAGGCAAGTAGGGATAAGAGCGA